GAATTTCAATTTGAAGAAATGCCTTTGTGATGCAATTAGAATAGAAATAACAAAACCTCAATTCACATTAGACAAACATATCGCCAAAACTATAAATTAAACTAAAATACCAATGGCGCATAAATGAATTTATTTGCTTCGACGACTCGTTCCAAGTTGAGTTCTGCACTAATGTGCTATTTCGTGACGGTCAGTTTTTATTGGTGGAGATGCCCGGAAAGAATCACTAACCGTCGATAGGAAAACTGGAAATCCTAGACAACTAAAACTGGAGTCGAGCACACCTGCCACGTGTTGGATTCGAACTCACAACTTCAGTATTGACAGGCTAGTGATACAATTGTTTGACTACTTAAACTATTCGGCGACCAAGTCTCCATTTTAGCTTAATAAGTTCATTATGCTAAAACTCACTTTGGAAAAGATCTTGTTGATGAATGGGGAGATATTAAGTAGTACATGCATTATGAATTTCAATTTTAAAGAAATAACTTTATAATGCAATTAGAAAAGAAATAACAAAAACTCAATTCAAATTAGACAAACATCTCGTCTCATGCTATAAATTTAACTAAAATACCAATCGCACATAAAATGAATTTATTTGCTTCGACCATGTCGACGACTGACTCCAAATTTAGTTAAAAGTGTCTTTCTAACAAAACTATTTGTACTGATTGGTTGCTCTGTTGTTATTGATCGACAAATTGATTGGTGTTTAACGCCACTTTCTGTACTAATGTGCTATTTCGTGTCGGTCAGTTTTTTATTGATGGACGTGCTCTGAGAGGACCACCTTCCGTCGGTAAGAAAACTGAAAATCCTAGACCATTAAAACTGGAGTCGAGCGCACCTGCCACGTGTGGGATTCGAACTCACAACTTCAGTGTTGACAGGTTAATGATACAGTAGTTTGACTACTTAAACTAGTCGGCCACCAAGTCTCCATTTAGTTTATTAAGCAAGCCCATTAGGCTAAAATTCATGTTGGAAAAGATCTTGTTGATGAATGGAGAGATATGAAGTAATACATGCATTCTGAATGTCAATTGGAAGAACTAATATTGTAATGCAAATAGAATAGAAATAACAAAAACTCGATACACACTAGAGAAATATATCGTCAAACACTACAAATATAACTAAAATACCAATGGAGCATAATCTTTATTTGAACAAGAAACATATGCAACACTATATTTTCATGGGTATGATAGTAACTAATCTAACCAATGTCATGATAAGAACATCTCGCAATAATTTCGTAATTATTTTCATCATTACGTAGTTAACTAGGTCCAAATTCAGTTCACATGGTCTTTCTAACAAACATTTGTGGACTGATAGTTTGCTCCGTTGTTAATGATTGATTGATTGATTGGTGATAAACGCCACTTTCAGCACTATTGTGCTATTTCGCGACGGTCAGTTTTATTTGTAGATTAAGCCGTGTGCCCGCAGAGAATCAACGACCCTCTGTAGGTAAACCGACAACCCGTATATATTGGAATCGAGCGCACCTGAAACGTGCGGGATTCGAACTCAGTGTTCACAGGCTAGTGATACAGTAGTTCGACTACTGAGACTACTCGGTTACCAGTGTCCCTGCTCTGTTATAATCTCCCTTTTTTATATACAAAGCCTTCCCAACAATCATTATTACAGATGGATTTATATTCCCAAACGTAAAAGTCCTTATAAGTCATGAATGAAGATTTTATATACCCTCGACCCTAAAAAAAGTAGTGTATTTTCAATTTTTTACAGTTAATATACGACGTCCGTATACATCTTTTTGCCTGTTTAAAATTTCTGATTCGAGTGTCACCTTTTAGTTTTTTGTAGGGGAAATGCGTCTCTGGCGTACAAAAATTTTTATGTTACTATCTATGATGAGTTTATTGTTTCGTCTGTGTCTTTTCGTTACACAGATTTTGATGTAGAATTACACTTAGCTAATTATTCTTTCGTGATAATTTTTCTCGCTATACCGAATTACACCCGTATTTAGATTGGCACTGATTAAGTAATAATAAAATATGCTTCTCTATTGTATTAAGCATGCATGATTGAGGAAAGCTCAAAAGAATTAATATTCGCTCACTTATGTCTAATGTAAAGAAAAATAAAGCATTAACATGATTAAATTGTTTCTATAAAATATGTGTTCTAGTTGGTTTGCGGTATAAAATATAATTTGCATTTAGATAATGTTCTTCAACATCAACATAACATAATATATATATATATATATATTGTTTTGTTTTCAATATATATATACCGAAAGCTTGATTTTTGTCGAGCCTAGGTGGTTTGAGTGGTCTAGCACGCCGGGCATAATGCAAGGCGATTTGGTGCCACGATATCCCAGTAGCATGGGTTCGAATCCCGGCCAGGGAAGAACAAAATTTACTTCCGCAAATTTACAGATCTAACATTGTTGGGCTGTTATTTAGACGAATTATATATATATATATATATATATAGAAGTACGCCTGAACCAGTGACAACTCTTCGACAGATTTTATCCATCGGATCGACAGTGATGGTGCTGCAAGGCTGAAAACACATTCTGTATATATAATTCGTCTAAATATCTATAGATATATATTATTCTTTACGATAGATATGTAACTAATCTGCAATCAATTCCATCTTCATGCCGAATAAAATTATATAATTTACTGTGTTACAGCCTTAGATTCTACTTACGAGGAAGGTAACACTAGGCCACCGAAAGCTGCATTTTAAGTTCAGTGTAGGTAGCCTAGTGGTCTAGAGCGATGTACACAGTGCAGGCGATGTTGCCTCGATATTCCAATAGCATGATTTCGAATCCCGGCGAGGAAAGATGAAAAATTTCGCAAATTTGCAAATTAAACATTGTTGTGCTGATATTTAGAGTAGTTATGAATATAAAATGTGTTTTCAGCCGTGTATCATTTTCACTGGATGGATCTGTCGTAGAGTTGTCACTTTTAGACGTACTTACATATAGATATATATGTTGTGTTAGGTTGGGTTGTCAAATATAAAGTATGTTTGCCATAAAAGCGGGAGGTTTGCCACAAAACCAGGTTCAACCCACCATTTTTTTCTTAAAATGTCCTGTACCAAGTCAGGAAAATGGCCATTTTTATATTATAGTTCGTTTCTGTGTGTGTTACATTTTAATGTTGTGTTTTTGTTGTGTCGTTGTTCTCCTCTTATATTGGATGCGTTTCCCTCAGTTTTAGTCTGTAACCCGGATTTGTTTTTATCTCTATCGATTTATGAGTTTCGAACAGCGGTATACTACTGTTGCCTTTATTTTCAATTTTCATGATTATAGACTATGCAAAAGAAAGAAACACTCCTTTCATATAACGGCTCGGTCAGCTTCATTATAGAAATAATCGACTGTTCCTACCCAATATACTGTTACATAAATCACACAAATAAGCACGATATCTCTTCGCTGATTGTTCAATGAATATATAGTAGTCTACAAATAACTGCAATGATTAATGTATATTAGATAAATAAAAATAAATTTTGGTTTTCCTCGATTTGTTGACTCATAAACGAATCACACATTGCAAAGCTCTCTGGAAACACTGATAACCTCTATATTTATCAACTACTCCTAGCATGCCAATGAATTAGTTATTTCTTTTCCTTAGATAAAATATCTTTAATTGTCTGTTATGTAGGAATAATGATATGTTTGCTGTGTGTTGTTAGTATCACTAAAAGGAGGTTTTTTTTATAAATACGAAGTTGAGAATCCCGATAAAGTAAAGGTCAGTACTTGCATCTCATACATCTCAGTGAATTTGAAATTATGGACACTACTGATACAAGAAGGACTGCTACATACCTTGATCTTTTCCTCAATATTGATACAGATAGACGACTTAACACTAAAATCTACGACAAACGGGATGATTTCAACTTCCCAATTATCAATTTCCCATTTCTCAGCAGTAACAAACCCTCTGCTCCGTCGTATGATGTGTACATATCTCAATTGATATGTTATGCTCGTGCATGTTCACACTATACGGAATTCATAAACAGGAGTGTGCTCCTTACGCAGAAACTGCTCCAACAGAGTTATGAGGAGAAAAGATTAAAAATAACACTCCTTCATTTTTATGGACACCATCACGAATTGGTTGATCTATACGATGTGTCCGTGTCTAAACTAGCTGATGAAATGTTTACCACGTCTTAGATTGTGGTTTAACATCTATGTCGTCTGTCTGCTAAGTACCGAACGTGACCTATTCCCGAATATCACTGTGATACCGAGTGTGAATTTGCATTGCTATACGACGTGTCTCGGTATTTTGTACATCCAACAATCATGTATTTATTTTTCATGTTTTTTATGGTTTCGGTTGGATAATCTGTTATGTCTTATCGTTTGTAGTCCAAATAATTATAAAATTGCCTTTCCATAACATCATTATCATGAAAATTGTTTGGATGAATATTGTGATAATAGTTGTATAAAGTTCGAGATTGCATGTTAGTAACGTAAGCGCGTCACTGTTTTTGATATCCTGTGGTGTTTGTCGTTGATTGAATATGTTCGTGCGGTTTGAATGTTGTGTCAACTATTATATTATTTGATTGTGCTTTTCTCTGTTACGAATGTTCTTGTGTAAGTGTGTGCTGTATTTCTGTCACGTAGTGTTGTCATTTTAGCAATATTTTTTAATATTTTCATAAAGCGGGAGCGATTAAACCAGGTTCAACCAACCATGTTTTCTTAAAATGTCCTGTACCAAGTCAGGAATATGGCAGTTGTTATCAAATAGTTCGTTTTTAAGTGGTATGAGTGCCAATGAGACAACTCTCTATCCAAGTCCCAATGTTTAAAAAGTTAACATTTATAGGTCAAAGTACGGCCTTCAACACAGAGCCTTGACTAATACCGAACAACAAGCTATAAAGGACCCCAAAATGACTAGCGTAAAACAATTAAAACAGGATTAAAAACAATAAATTTTACATTAGTTGCCATCCAGTTTTGATTTTCTTTTTTCTGCTATACTAGATATACGATAATCACATTTCAAAGCTGTCTCATAGCAAAGATAAGCTGTGTCTCTAGCACCGGATATCTCATAGCATATTCCAAGTATTGTTAATGAATCAGACATTTCCTTTGGTTGAATAAAATATCTGTTTGTCACTGTTAAATATAAATCATGTAAAGCCTGTTGTCTATTAAAAATATCACCAAGGTGATGATAGCAGAGATATCTAAGGCAGTGAGACATTACAACAGGAGGTATCACTAATCCTTGTTCACTCCCATCCAGTTGTAGTTCTTCTGGTAATAATGGTGAGTGACTTAAGTACATGACATTAGTTACAGTAGCTTTTTTCATCTTGTCATTCAATGTCATTGAAGAATGTACATTTTGTCTGTAATTATTTTTATGTATATTACAATTTTGATGAGTTCCTACAAACGTCATATCAGGTGAACATCTTGATAGAATATAATCCGTTAGTTTGAGTGTAATGTTGAACTGTCCTGTTACATAATAAAACGACGCGTATAACAACCAACCTGACACGGCATCTGTCTTGATGCCGTCTCGTAAATGTCTTTGATAACATTTACGTAAGTTGTATGTTTCACCTATTGTTGTTGACGGTGGTAGCAATTGAGCAACATTTTGACTGATTTTAGCATAATAATATTTACATGCATCAATAAAAAATGTAGACGATTCGGAATTTAGTAAAGATTGCATAATTGCAAATCCTTTATAACAACTTGAAATGTCTGTTGGTAAAGTCATCGAATAAGTTGTCCTGTAAAATAAGAAGTTTGACATAACTGTCGAAGATTCACACTGTTTACTTAATAAACGGTGTTTTTCATAGTCAGTCTGAAATAAATTCTTTATCAATCCATCAATCCCTCCAGATTTAATACTTCCAAGTACACATAGTAGGATCTTATTGTTACTCAGATTGACCTTTCCTGTAAACATATTGTGTTCAGGTATGAAATAGTTTGGACAGTAGCAGGTGTCTACCCATGATATTAATTTATCTAGACAGAGAGAAAAACAATAACACAAATTAGGTAATTGAAATGTGTCATAATCTACTTCCTCTGAGACCCAGAATAAAGCCGTCTTTAGAAAGTAGGAACACAATAACTCTTTGACATCATTGTTTGTATTAACGATACGCTTTAATGTTAATTTCAGTAGACCGTAACATAAGAGTTGAGTGAAATTAAACGAATGTACAAGTATTTTTTCTGCCATTGAGAAAGATATTCTCCATAATAAGTCATTATCCGTTATAGTCTTAGGTCCAATTGGCACTAACAAGCATCCGTAATGTATGATCCTGTCAATAACTAAATTAGGCGGCCATTGCAGTCTATGACGGAATGCCCATGGAATTGCGATGTGAGGTAGATACTTACTCCTTAGGCAGTAAGCATAATCAACGGTATTTCGTAGATTTGAAAAACATGGCCCGTGTAAAACTGTCTCCGGCACTTGTGAAAATAATTGCTTAAAATAATCAAGAAATCTGTTTACTGATACATATGACCGTTTAACGGTACATGTACCTGGAGGACAGTCGGGACATGTTTCACGGACGATTTCCCCCTTTTCGTTTGCTAACACTCTGAGTCTAGTAAAGCCAGGATGATCAACATCTGTCTCCATAACAAATGTCTTTCGTATTGGATGTTTGATATTCCTTTCATTCTGCACTACGTCCACGTTCGTGATTACATACATAATATCTAAATCACTTTCTATAAAATATATTCCTTCTCCTAAACTTCCACTTATTATTTGTTGACGGTTGTTCGACCAGCCGATCATATCTTGTATAATAAATAAACGTTGTCTGTTTCGTATATCTCTTTCAGTACCAATTGTTTTTACTAGGTGTTCGTATAAGTATTTCTCTCTCGGGACATTTTCGAGCCAAAGCAAATGATCTATAATAAAGAAAGTTATATTTGATTACTTACTTTCTATTTTTCTTAAAATCCGAAAATGACGTTCTTAGAAAGAAAATTATCTGCCCTAAATTTATTACAAACATATTGTCGTGTGTGTTAATCCAGATAGTGTTAATGACATTTTGCAACCAAAAGCATTGGTCATCATATTGGTCATTTCTTCCTCGGTGTATCCTCGGCCAGGTACTCAACATAATTTATTAACATAAACATAAGAAAATCAATCTTCCGGTCATTGGTAGTAAATATATACACTGTCATTAAATGTTTATTGTAGCATATCCTTGATACGTTATAGTATGCAAATTTACTAGTTACAGGCTTTTGAATTATTTAATACACAATGTTTTTTCTGCCCGGTGGCATATACAGTATTAGCTGTACATTTTATTTCAAATCTTGGGTTAGAGCACTTCCGATTAAAAGAAATTTAGTAATGTGGTTTAGGCGCATTAATCTAAAAGTTTATTGTATATATATTTTATTGTTACTCTAATGCTTGAGTAATTTTGCATTTTACATAATTGGTGCGAATCGATGTACTAGTATTCAATTTTGAGACGTTATATATGTATCAATATTTGTTTGTCCAAATAAAGTATTGTACTATCAAAAATTATTAAACTTTTCCCAATAATGTACGTCAATCTTTATCTTCTTTGCACTGACATTGACTTTAAGTCTTTTTAGTTCAAGAAGACATTTCAACGCATTAAACTGACTTTCCACTACCGACATTATTCATTTTATCAATTTAGTTTATCCCGTATACTAGTCTTTCATTGTAAATTGTAAATAACCGAATGCAACTTATTACTAATTTGTCTTGTCATTAGTACCTGGCTTATATAAGACCGAGAACTCTTACATATCAGAGAACATGATTGTATGCCGATTTTTGATAGAAGTTACTTTCCTTGGTCATTAGTTTCGTGTGCAGTATTTTATGAACTTTGTCGTTTCTCTCTTTGGCCATGGTGTTGTCTGTTTATTTGTCCTTTCCCTTTTGTACCATGGTGTTGTATGTTTATCGTTTTGTTTTTGGTACATTGTGTTTCGATATAAAAATTAGATGTGGAATGAGTTCAAATGTGATAACTCTCTGTCATTAACCAAATGACATAGAAGTTATCAACTATAGATCACCGTACGGCCTTCAGAGATACACAAAACCAATACCACATTGCAAGCTATAAAAGACCCCGAAATGGCATCTATAAATAATTCAAAACGGCCTGATGTACTAGTATATATAAAATACTCAACGAAAAGCAAGTATGGTAAACAGCAACAAATGACAACAATGAATTGCAGGCTACTGACTTGGGGTAGGAAGGTTTTATTTATTCTAATCGTGGTATCGTTCCTTTTAAAACTGTTAATCATATTTGTATTAAATCAAGACCTAGTAGACATCTATCGTCATTACAACGGTATTACCTTTATCGCATTCTGTACCGGTCTGTAAGTACTCCAGATATTCATTTGAAGACTTGTCAGGATATCTGAGGTTTAGTATCCACTGTTTGTGTTTTTTCCTTCTATCTAAACAAGCTTTGTACATGCGTTCAAATTGTCTGATTGTCAGTCCGAAAACGTCATTTGAGATAACCATCCCTCCATCAAAAGATTGGTAAAGACATGGCGTATATTTACGCTTTCCTGGATACGGAAAACGTTTAACACCGTATATTTCCCAATCCGTGATTTTCTTCATTCCAAATACATTTTGATCATCATAATTTTCTTGGTTTCTGGAGGTTCCGCTCATGATGACTATAGCCTGTAAAAAATATGATTACATACATTCAATTTTGCAATGAATTTACACTTTCATATTGCTTATCAAAAGATAAAATAATTTACCGATTATCAGTAAATTTATGAGTCCATGTGTTATACTTGGTTTCTTAATTTTAGTTACATGTTACTATAGTAACGTGTCAAAGTTATTTGTAACAAATAACATGAATAACTGTTATAACGTTTCATAGCTTCAGTGGTCTTAATAGTATCAACAAGTTAGATTTTCGAGGAGTTTTAGTTTCTGATATAAATGCGTGTGTCTCAATTTGAAGTACTGATGTACGGATATGTTAAATTGGACCATTGCAGTTACTTTATACAGGGGATTTTGATCAGTTTTAGTATAATTAAGGAGATGTGTTAAGATTACCATTTACACAACTATCCAACAGAGTCTAAGCAGTGAAATTAATGTTAGAACCGATGAAAAGCCATGTTCAAATATCATCTTAAGGTGTTGAAATCATATGCTATATCCCTAACTTTATTCAAAGATTCAAAAAGTGTGCGTGGGTCGGTTTTTACGTACTTTATAAACGACACCACCGTGCTAATTAGAATATCATATCTCGTTTTATGTAAGAATCTACATGTTCAGCCAAAACCACATAATCAAAGATCCATGAAAATGTAAGTATTCCTCAATCCACGAAAATTGGTACCCACGAGATAAATGAATTCTACCTAAAACTAGTATTTAATGCATACTACACGTTTTAATAGTGATTACTGTATACATAATCAAGGGATATCAACTACTGCTAGGGGAAAACAACGGGGGATAATAAACCTGCCCGAATTTCTGATTATAATATTACTTGCGTTAGATCCGGCAACAGGTCAATAACAAAGTGTCGTTTAGGAATGTACAAAAGAGACGAAAGATACCAAAAAGACATTCAAACTCATCAGTCGAAAATAAACTGACAACGCCATGGCTAAAATAGAAAAAGACCAGCAGACAAACAATTGTACAAAAAGCACAACATAGAAAATTAAAGACTGAGAAACACGGACCCCACCAAAAACTGGGTGGTAATCTCCAAAAACTGGTTGGTAATCTCGTGTGCTCCGTAAGGGTAAGCAGATTCTGCTCCTCATGTGACACCAGTCGTGTTGCTCATATTTGTATAAACCTGGTAATAAGTCTAATTCGGTAGGTCTCATTCGGGAAAAGGGGACGGGATTGTAGATACGACATTAGAAACATATCCGCTATCATCTGTGAAACGGTTTTTCCATAACGGGCAACCAACTCGTGATGGCGTCCGTAAAATTTACGAAGGGATGATTCAACTTCACCATTTGGAACTCTTAAATCAATAGCTTCCTTGTGAGAAGCAACCCTCTATCAAGAAAATCATGATCGAATATAAAAGTCCTGGAGTAGGGTATCAACTGGGAGATATATACTCCGTATGCAGGCGCTGCTGGAATATTGCTACATAGAAATGGAAAGGGCATAATTAGGAAGCTGAAATCATCTCATTGTCGTACGGTTTTGTTTTCAACCGACCCTCATTGTCAATTTCTAGATGTAAGTCAAGATATGAGGCAGACTTCACTGTCTGACTTAAAGTGTGCAAGGGAAACGCATAGATGGTTAATTAGCTATATAAAAGGATATTGTTTTGTCCATAATTTTGAAGAAAATTATACAGGAAACACTTTAAGACTAGTCGTAGCGTGTTATTAGTTTAGTTTACTGAAGTACGCAAGAAACGGATATTTTGCAAAAGTTGATTAACACAGCTCAAATCTCTATGAACAATTCAACAAATAAAATTTAACTTTAAGTTGTAGTTTAAGGAGGCAAAACCAGAACAACAAATGACAATATGTGTAATTTATGACGGTAAATCATGTGCAATTGATACGTTAATATCGATTAAAGTAGCAATTATTTTATAGTGTAGCAGGTAGGAATACTTGAAATGTGTTACATTACTGATGTGATCTTAAAGTATTCGATGCTAAACTGAGCGTATATGTTTTGTCTGGTTCATTAAGGCGACAGTAGCTTTCCAATATTCAAATCCCGTAGATCGATTAAGAAGATACTAATCAATGTAACCAACAACTGATGGAATCTGTTTCGTCGACAAAATAAGCGTCTCTTGCTATGAAAGCATCATTAAAGCAGTATATCTTACCTTTTTCACTGGGCCGCTGAATATACACGTGTTGCTTCACAATGTTACTTGAACGATTCAAAGTAGCAGTTAAAGGAAGCTGAAACAAAGACAGATGAACTTCCTGATTAAAACATCGTTAATACTTGTTCTGAGGATATCTGATTTTATTCTAATTAAAACGAGGAAGGAAAGTCATCTTAGAAAAATTGTTTGTATGTACATACAAGGAAATTGAAACACATCGTTAGTGAATCAGAATTCGCAACCTAACTCTATTCTAAATTTCTATACATACATACATATCCTAGTGGTCATAAGATAACATCAGTATTCCTTATCTGTTGGTTCCTGACAAGATATTTGCATATGTAAATGTTATATGTCAGACACGTTTTACAATTGTGTTTTTCCATTTGAAATAAGATAAAAAGGACGAAAATATAGAAATAGGGATATAGCTATGAGATATATAAAAAATCTAAAATACGATATTTTTGTTCAATCATTAATGAAAGTGAAATAGTGAAATAATAATTTGCTTTTAGCGGCCAGTATGGTTCAATTTTGTCAAAAGTTAAGAAACATTGATGATGAATTATTTACTTGCAAGTGAATAATTTGACCTCATTGAATCCGTATTCATCTGAACTTCAATTTAATCCCTTAGCTAGAGATAACGCATGAATTGTGCGTGTTGAGTTATTTAAAGGAAAAAGAATGTCAACATTGAAAGTGAAACAAAGGTAAATCATTTGATTGACTGATTCGATCCACAAAATATCATTCTTATACAGGTAAAAACGATGATTAACATATATTTTAAATTTATAATATGAATTTAAACAGACATAGAAAAGTCCAATTGCACGAGTT